CCGCTTTCAGGTTTCTGGTATTAGGCTTTTCCCAAGGAAAGTGCCCGCCTCCCTTTTGGTTTACCACTTGGATTCAGCTTTCTGGTCCTCTGTTGGGGAATTCCCTTGCTATCTTTTGATCAAATACTTTAAAAGCATTTCTGTTGTAATTTGACCAGTATCTGAATTGGCCCTGTTTTTCAGAGGGACTGCAAACAATGCTAAAAGAAGCCCCATTTCCTTTCTCTGGTGTACCCCCGCCATTCTCAAGGTCATTACTCTGCGACCCGCAGACTCTGCAGTCAGTGTTGGAAGTCCCTTCCTTGCTTTGACCAATCACTGTGTCAGGTGTCTTTGCATTTCCTGCTGGGTGGTAATTTCTGTCAAGTGTCTGAATGTATCAGCAGGGGCTGTTACTCATTGTGCACCCTCAGTGCCTGGCACACAGTAGGCCCTTAGAAATATTTATGAAACCATGAATGATTCCCAGCTTCTTGGGTGAGGAAGACCTTTTCTGTCCGGCCCCAAATATTCCTTCTCACACTCCACCTGCCCACACCAAGATTTCTTTGGTTTCAGTTCCAACAAGTTTTTCCCTTCTGTGTGTGAGTCTAGAATGTTCACCAGCTGGTTCTCCTGTCATTTCTGAGGCAGCTTTGCTTATGGGAGCCTGATCCATCATTTTGTCTTCAGGAATGGATCCCAGCTCCTTCTTTCAGAAAGGTCCCCAGAATTCAGTGAGACCTGGGTTTTGAGTTTATGAAAGGAAGCCACCTTATTTTTAACTCTCTAGGCCTGAACCCCACGTGTGGGACCTGGCCAATCAAATCCAGCTTCGCTGGGCACAGAATTGCCCTTGTAGTGACCCAGGGCTTTGGGGAGGATAGTGCCAGCTCAATGCATCCTCCAGATCCTCCGCAGTGGCCTCCTGGGGCCCGGGGGCTTCATCCAATCACAGGAAGCTGAGCACAGTTTCAGAGGCCCTAGGCTCAGTGTGATGTAGGATGGTTCTCTTGAAGGTGCTGTGTTGATGGTCACATGAAGTGGGCAGCTTCTCAGCTTTGCAGTGGCTTCTTCTCTCTCCTGATAGATAGCTTCATATAAATTCCTAGACTCAGCTCAGTCTTATCACCTCTGCAAAACCTTCCTGAGTATATGCTCTCAGAAATAATTCAGACTTTGTTAAATTCCCCTAGCACTGGGCCATCTTCCTCAGCAGGCAAGGTCATTAGTGAACACCTACAGTGACAGGCACTGGGTGGAGAATCCCAAAACAAGCAGGATTGTTTTCCTTCAGGAGTTACATGTATTGGAAGAGACAGAAATGTGAACAAGAACAATCAGGAGACTGGATGGGTAGGCTATATCTTTAAACATGAGTAGAAATTTATCAGGCAAACAAAGCCAGTAGTGAGGGCAGGAGGAAGAGAGCACTGAGGCAAAGGGAATAGTAAGAGGTTAAATATCATGACTTATTCTGTCAGTGTAAATTGCTCTGTATTGTTAGGGCCAAGTTTTGGTGAAAGGATTAAGTGGAAAATAGAAGCAAAGAGGCACACAGGGCCACATGGGACTCCATTCTGCGGGGCAGGTGACAGGGTGAGGGTGGGCTGGGGCTGGGGTTATGGAACTATCGCACAATATTGAGCAGGGTAGAGAGAGTTCAGATTGGAGTTAGAAAAATCTCTTCCACAGTTGTGTGAGGCTAAGGCTGGTCAGGGGCAGGGTTCAATGAGGAATTGAAGCCACTTTGGGAGACACTTGAAAGAGCTGCAGGATTTGCTGAGCCATGTGCTGCGGTATTGAGGAAAGAGTTTAGAATGGCTCCCAAATTGCCCCTTTGGGGGACTAGGTCCACAGAAGGTAGAACTATTAACAAACTAGCATGCATACCTACAACAGGGTGATGGGCTTGCTACAGGACACTGAGATGCTGGGTGTGGACATGTAAAATGATTGCAGCCCAGACACCAGCTGAGGTCTGACTCTTAAAATCCAGATAAGATTTTAAGAATTCCAATCTGATTGGAATTCACATTTTTTTTGACCTGTGAAAAGTCTCACCCTCTTCCCCTGGATTTTCTGTGAATTTTCAGGTTTAGATTCTTTTGGTCACTTCTGGCTCTGTGTAAACCGGCTCCATTCATGGTCACCCTCATCATGCCAGACCCTGCTCCATCCAGATGCCCCTCTCTTTGTTGGGGGAAACCAGTCTCACTCAAGACTTCCTACACGTGGCAGACATTCTACAAGATGTGGGGAGCTGGAGGGGGTTACATCAGAGAAGTGCAAAGAGCAGTGTTGACATTACCTCTCATCTTCTCATTTTAAAAAGCCCTTTGGGGCACCTCAAGGACAGCCATTTCACATTGGGGGACCTTCCCACCTAGCATCTCATGCTCTCACCATCTTGTTGATTATACCTGCTGCCAGTGTTCAGTTCAAATTCCTTATTCTCTAGTGCAGCAAGAGCTCCTTCCAACCCTGTCTGAGCTCAGTTCTAAGCCATCTTTTCATTTCTGGACTCATCAAATTCCTAGTTGACTAAAAGAGCATTTTGAGATGAACATCATTCATTCTGCTTAGCGAGTAATCAGAGTTTTAAATATCATTTTTTCAACATTAGATACTTTTAAAGATTATTATTATTATATTATCTTCCTTCAATTACTGTCTTCCACCTCTGACCTTAGCCCTCCTGGTAGCTGGAGACTCAAAGTGAAGAGCTGGGCAACTGCTGTCTGGGCCTTTGTCTGTGTGGATAGGGCTGGCCCTTCATGGCTCCTGCTTTTCCACAACCTGCCCATACTTTTTCCCCATCAATCGAAGGGTTGTTCTCCAGTCTCTCTGCTCATGAGACCACACCCCTGGCAGGAAGGTGGCTGAAACTGGGAGGGGCTTTTGGCTGGAAAAAGAGGGCATTTCTTCTCATAGGGAGCCTTGTTCATAATGTTCATCCTAGCCCAGTGGTCGGCAAACCGCGGCTCATGAGCCACATGCGGCTCTTTGGCCCCTTGAGTGTGGCTCTTCCACAAAACACCACGTTCGGGTGCACACATACAGTGTGATTGAAACTTTGTGGCCCATGCGCAGAAGTAATTTTTCGGCCTGGGCGAAACAAGTATACGAGACAAGTGTGGATGGGAGAGTTGGAAGGGGTTGACCTCAGTGAACGTACCTCAATCAGATTGAGGACGTTTTTAGCAAAGGCCAGTTTAGGAGTACCCTAATTAAGTTAATAACAATGTACCTACCTATATAGTTTAAGTTTAAAAAATTTGGCTCTCAAAAGAAATTTCAATCGTTGTACTGTTGATATTTGGCTCTGTTGACTAATGAGTTTGCTGACCACTGTCCTAGACCAATCTGGAGGACATTCTTGCCTTGGTTCCCAACACCCAGTTGGTCATTGTGACACCACGATCACTTCTTACCCTCTGAGAGGCAGACTGGTCTTTGTATCGTCCAAGTTCATCCCAGGACACCAAAGGGCCATGGCTGCTGGAATGGGAGGATCCTGACAACAGTGTCACTAGGGACCTACTGGGATGTCTCCAAGAGGAGCTGGGGTGCATCCAATATGCTCCCCAATATGTGTGGGGAGCTTTCCAATATGCTCCAGGCCAGGTCTTCCTGTCCATCCAGGAGACAATATTTGCTGTTGTCAGAAATTGGTGCTGGCATCAGGCATTGGGAGGGGAGTGAGAAATGTGTCCCCACTACCTTCACAGTCCAGTGTAAAAAGACTGACAGATGTATCAGTGTATAGTAAAATGCACCAAGAGTTCCACCTATGGATGCGGAGGAGGCAGCACTGGGGTCTCTAGTTAAAAAAGTAGCAGCAGTGGAGCGAATTCCAGGAAAAGTTTCCCAAGCAGCTTTCCATGGTTGGGGTGCTGGGTGCACAGCACGTGAGTCTGGGCCTGGCGGCTGCGGCAGGCTAGCACAGCTTTAGCACTGGGGGCTGCCACTCTACCCCGAAGCCAGCGGGGCACCGCTAACGGGAATGACGGGATGCGGGTTTCATAAAGTACACTGGGCAGCAGAGCAGATGAACTCCCGAGGGCCGTGGGAACAGTTCGTAACAGGACACTGGGCTCGATGTCCAGCCCTCACTGTACTGCAGTTCATGGAGGGCAGGCCTATGGCTGTGTGTTCATCACCATTCTGAGCCCAGACCTTCGTGCTCCATGATATCTTAGTGCTATGGACTGAATGCTTGTATCTCAAATTTATGTTAAATCGTAATCCCCAATGTGATGGTGTATGATGGTGGGGCTTTATGGAGGTGATGAGGTCATGAGAGTGAAGCTTCATGAAATGGGATTAGTGCCCTTATAACAGACCCCAGAGAGCTCTTCCTTCCACCACCTGAGGACACAGTGAGAAGACATTTATGACTCTATGAACCAGGAAGCAGACACCTGCAAAATTCTGGTACCGAGCTTCCCCGACTCCAGGATTGTGAGAAATAGATGTTTGCTGCTTAAGACCTCGTCAATGTATTTTTGTTATAGCAGCCCAAGCTAAGGCATGGAGCAAATGCAGTCAGGTGAGGCAGCCTGGGAAGGCAGAGACTCCTTGTAGATACCTGCTCTAGGCATCACACACCCAAGAGAGGAGGGTTGGGAGTGGGAAGGCCCAGGCCTAGCGCGGGTGCTCTGTCCTGTGCCAACAGCATCAGCTGTTGCCCAGGGCACTGCCACAGCAGGGATTAGGCCCACATACCCTTCAGCAGTGGCTGCACTTTTCTGCTGGGCTGACAGGAGTCACCTGTGGTTCCTCAGGCTGCTCAGTCCCTGCAGGGCAGCAGTGAGGAGTGGGGATAGGACTCATCTTCGGGGCTAATGGGCAACCTCTGCCTGCAGCCTCCTGGCTCTCTGGCCACACCTCCATGGTGCCCTGAGAACTCCTGCCTTTATAGTTGTGAGGGAAATGGTGAAGTCAACTTGAGGCTGGGAAACAGGGGACCCCGAGTTCTGTTTTCTTAAGGAAAAAGGAAAATAACGCGTTGACCAGAGTTTGAATGGTTTAAAAAAGTGTATTGGAATTCCAATACTAAATAAAAACATGAAATTGTGTTTTTTAAAAAGCCAGAGTTTACAGCATCAACTACAGAAAAGGCCAAACAAGTGTGTACAGCAAAGTAGTCCCAGCAGCCCTTGAGAGCCCCCGCAGGCAACAAGGTGCAGACACATCTGTTCCAGATGCTCCTGAAGGAAGCTGCTGAGCAGCTGCTCACCTAGGACATTATAACACATACAATGGCTTCGTTTAAAAAACCACAGAAAATGTAAGAAAATGTATTAAATTGTGAAAAGGTGCAATTCAGAATAGCTTTCCTTTTTCTTAATTCTAAAAAATCCCCAACTTTGAGCAGTTATTTAAAAATAGTCCCCACCCGCCCCAGCTCTGTGGCAGTGTCCAGGTACCAAGGTCCTGAGGTAACAGGTCTTAAGATTCATGGGAGGAAATGCCCTGAACACCGAGCATATGTTTCTTTGGGCGAAGGTGAGACAGTTCCTGGGGAACCAGCCGCCTGGTGCCGGAGTGCTCTTTTCAGGGTCAGTTAAGTGCACTGGCTTCGCAGAACCCTGCCTGGTAGCACCGTCTGTGAGCAGGGCCACGGCAGCAGGAGTTCCAGCACTACACTTCTCATTGCCCCAAAATAATAAATACAAAGAGTTCATCGTCTAGAGCAGCGGTCGCCAACCTTTCGGACCTCACGGACCACCGGTTGGTGACCGCTGTTCTATACTGCCTTCCACATTCTCTTCTGGGGATTTGCTGGGGAATAGGGGAAAATGCCTGAAGGGCTGTCCTATATTTTTTCATAAGGTATTCTTAATATTAAAAAAAACCAACATCTCAGCTCCTTACCCTTTTAAGAAAAAGAAAATAAGAATTATTTGCAAAGGCAAAGGCTTCTGTGTGTGGCCAGGCCATGCAGTGTACCTCAGAAACCTCCTGCCGCCCATTCTAACCAGGGGCTTAGCTGAGCTGCTGGATGGAGGAGGGGCAGCTGCCTCCTGTGCCCCTCACCACTGTCCCTGTCTGCTGCTACTTGAAGAACCATGTTCAGAAAGAAGTGGGAGCCTCAGGGGTAAAGCAGCCCCTGCAACATGGAAGGGAGAGCTGGGCTGGCTAAGGACAGGAACTGGAGAGAAGCAAGGAGTCTTAAGTGGAAACAAAGTTCCTTCCTTAACCCTCGACTTTCCCAGTGGGAACAGATGACAAAAGCAGGAAAAAGGCTCACCCTGTTCTCTGACCACCCAGGAGCGGGGCTGCCCTGTCTACAACACCCCTGGCAAGTGGGAGTACAGTACCTGACTGCTCGGCATGGCACTCTCATCAGGATCTGACCAAGACACAGGGCAGCTAAGTCCTCGAACCCACCTATTGCACAGAAGAATTTTTTAACTAGGTCCACATGAAACTCCAGTTGCAATTTAGTGACAATAGAGATGGACACGCCAGGAAAGGACAATAATATAGATGCTTCCATTCTCCGCAGGCTTCTTGAAGAAAGTACAATAGAAACACTCACAGGAACTCAGCAGTCCCTCCACTTCCTACTCCCCCCCCCGCCACCCCAATACTGAAACTGCACAGAAGCAACAAACAAGTTCTTTCAATGTTACATATCATTCAAATAGATCTGTAATCTCACAGTGATGAGAGGAGAAAGTCAGGCCTTTAATAATTATAATTAAAAAAATAATAAAAAAGCTTACAAACAGCAATGCAACATTTCCTCCCCCCTCAAAGTGATGGGTTAACAGCTGGTAGAGGATGCAATGACTCATAATTAAAAAATAAAAAACAAAAAAACAAGTCAACCCCTGGAACAACCCACGCTGCTGATGACTTTCCATACATAATTCAGACAAGTTAAATGTCAACCACTTGTGGAGAACACCACGACTTCCTTGGTTTGATAGTGTTTTTCTTCTGAAGGTAAAATAGGACGCAAATAAAACTGTACATAAATGCCAATGTCTACACTCTGTAAAGGCGATGCAGTCATAGCACGAAGACACAGCCTGACCACAAAGTGAAAGGGCGGCTGTGTTTCTTGCCTCTTCCCTAGATATAAAACTTTGGCCCATGGTGCCCGGTCCTGCAGTGTGCCAGCAGGTAAAGGGAAGCTGCCTCGACATGGGCTTCTTCCGGGCCGACCAGAAGCAGCCCCACGAGGCACAAGCTTGTCTGTGTGTTCACGCTGTGTTCTTAAGTGCTGTCTCTCATCCTCTGTATAATTCCTTGTTTCTAAGCTGAGTCCCAAGACTTCTAGACTCAGTTCTGGAGTCATATCCTGGTGAAGGACGTCATGCTGTCGTGATGGCGTTAAGGTCCTTCATTAGTCCTTCCAGGTGGGCCATCTCTTTGGTCAGCTCATCTGGTTCATAGCTCTATGGAAAAGAGAACACTGTTACTGGGTGTGACCCGAGGAGCCATCCAGAAGCCGAGCCCAGAGAGAGCCTTAGAGTCTGCAAAGTGCCCTGAGAGACTAGATGATGGAAACCCCGCTGGCCCAGAGGGGCCAGACTGAAGGAGGTGCCAAGGCCACTGAGCCCCCAAGCCAGCAACCACTCATTTCTTCACAATGCAAAATGCCTCTCCTCCGACATACTCTGTCCAGGGTCACAAGATGCTCAAGTCTGTCTAGGTCTCTGTCACAATCAGTATGCCCCATAATCTCTGGGCTCCAAGCTTTCCTCTTTAAAGAGTCATGTACTTGGAAATGTGGAGTTAGACGTATTTATTAGAACGTAAGAGGGAAAAATCAAGGAGAGGTCCTGTTGATTTTTTAAAAATATATATTTTCATTGATTTCAGAGAGGAAGGGGGAGAGAGATAGAAACATCAATGATGAGAATCATTGATCGGCTGCCTCCTGCACGCCCCCTACTGGGGATGAGCCCACAACCTGGGCATGTGCCCTTGACTGGAATCGAACCCGGGAACCTTCAGTCCACAGGCCGATGCTCTATTCACTGAGCCAAACCAGCTAGGGCGGCCCTGTTGATTTTTGGTGTGAAAGCATCCACTTAGGCACCTTCCCCTCCAGCATCCTGCTCATAAAAGGTCAGGAAGTGTGGGACTGAAGGATGAAAGAAGCTGTGGATGACTCAAACCAAGAAAAGAGGATGAGAGAGAGGGAGAGAGAGAAGACGAAAAGGAGGGTGGCAGTGGGTGGGGGAGAAAAAAATCACTAGCTGGGCTGGTGTGATAAGCTAATCCAAGATACATCAGAGTGAGTATAAGAGAAAGCAGATCGAAGCTTCCACACAGTTCCTGGCTCATAGAGATGCTCCGTCAAGCGTGTCTATGGAGTGAATGAGTGAACCGGCTTCATACTCTGGGCCAGCACAGCATCAGCGAGACCTGCACACTCAGGTTCTGGGACATGCTCCTGGATATCTGGCTGGGCTGATGGCCCCATGAACTTACACTTTCGGAGTCTTCCAGCATCCTTGTGGTCTCCTGCACTTCAGGGGCACTGGGAACCACCACGGGCATAGGAGGCCTGCTCCTTCCTAAGGTCCCAATGGAGGCCGTCTTCATCGAGTGAATGTGATGGTTCAGAGCTGAGGGGAAAGGGCACTGTCAGGTGTGTAGTTAAGCGTGCTCCACCCAGACCTCGTGAAGGGATATACCCAGTGAGGGATATACCCAAACCCAGTGCAGCAATCCAGCACTGAGAAGGACCTGGAACAAGATGGAAGGAGGGAGAAAGCAGGGCATCCAAGAGGCCAGAAGAAATATTCCATTTGGCTTTAGAAAACTAACCTCCTAGTCTAGTGGGCCTCAAATATAGTGATCCACGGACCCCTTGCAGAATATATGGTAGATTAAACTCTTTTGATAATAATACTATGGTATTTTTTGCCCTTACACTGATGGTACAAAAGCAACAGGGCGTAAAACTGCTAGAGCCCAAGCACAGGTGAAGGCAGTGGCCCCAAACTGTAAAGTCACTCACCGATACACACTTGAAGTTTAAAAAGCAGTTTAACATCATTCTTTATGAAACAGTAAAAATTATTTTATTAAATATGGACCTTGATTACACAGCTTTTAAATATTCTATATGACAAAGTGGACAGTATGCACACAGGATTGCTGCTGTACACCGAGGGGGGAGGGCTGTTCCCACCAGACACCCTGGGCAGCCGGGGTTGCGAGCGGTACTATCACTTGTATCATGGACTTGAGCATTTGGCAGACATTTTCTAGAAAGTGAATGAAGTAAGCCAGTCACTTCAAGAAAAACAATGGACAGTATTTAAATTTCAAGTAAAATTAGAGTTTTTAAAACCCTGCATCTAGAAATAAGAGTTTAGATCCAAGATGGCGGCCGATGGGATGACAGGCAGCAAGATAGTGTGAGTGAGAGAGCGAAAGGAGAGTGTGGACGTGCGGGGCGTGTCTGTATTTGTGAGTGAGGGACAGCTCTGTTCCACAGGACTGTTGGGGACTGGCGGACCAGGCTCCCAATCTCTCCTGGAGTGGCTGGCTCTGCTGCAGAGACTAGGCCATCTTGAAGGGGAGAGCAGCTGTGATCGAAAGCCCAGGCTTACCTTCAACCAGGGAGACCTCAGATACATCCCAAGACCCTGCAACCACAACACCCAGGGACCAGCTGCCTCAGCTGCGAAGCCACGAACACCGAGACTCCAGCCTCCCCGGCTGCGGGCGCCTAAAAAGTTTGTCCAGGGGGAGACAAAGTGGCATCGAATACACGAATGGGCCCTGTACCTTCTCACAGAGCAGATAGAAGGAACAGTTGAATCGAATAACACCCACCCAGAATTGGCAAATTAAACACAGCTGGTGAGGCAATCCGGGGATGGAAAGATCAGAGATCGCCTAGAGCAGTGGTTCTCAACCTTGGCTGCACATTAGAATCACCTGGGAATCTTTTTAAAATCCTGATTTCTGGGCCTCCTCCAGAAATTCTGTTTCATTACTAATGTTGTGGCCCCACCCCATAACAAAGAAACAGAATTTCCAGAGGATGAGGCCAAGAAATCAGGATTTTAAAAAGATTCCCAGGTGACTCTAATGTGCAGCCAAGGTTGAGAACCACTGGCCTAGAGAGAGGTGTGATCTGGGATCCAGGCTGGAGGGAGAAACGTGCTCAGGGGGCACTAGAGTCTCAGAGGGAGACTGCCCCCCACCAAATTCGCGGCCCTTGGGGTCAGTGTAGCCCTCGAATGTGGAAGGGGGTCCACAGAGCTGCTGGCAGAGGGGGACTCTAGATATAAGCCCACAGCCGAGGGAAACTGTGCCCAGAAAGGCAGCCTGAAGTTCTATATGGGCCACGCAGTGACAGGTGAAAAAGACACGAGTTGGCGCAGTTCCTTTGCCTTTTTTTTTTTTTTTTTCCCTTTTGCATGCTAAGCCCAGTACATGGGATCTTCCAATTAAAAACACTCACCAAGACTGCAGGGGAAAGTTGTTTCTGTGGAAACTGGGGATCAGAATAAGGAGAGACGAGCAGGAAACCGGCTCTGGGTCAGTTGTCCCTGCAACCCAGTATTAAGTGCGTCAGGGAAAGAAGAGTGTAAACATTGGGTAGAGGAGCCATTTAGTCCCGGAAACTAATACAGAAACACCACCACCCAGGGGTTGTGTCAGAAATTGACTCTTATGTAAATACAACTGAAGGCAGGCTGAGAAACGAAGTGAGCAGAGAGATCCCACCTGCTTGAAAACAAGGTTGTGGCTTATGACACAGAGGAGCTGTGGATCACAGGGAACTTCAACACTGTGCTGACTACCTGACAGGAAACAGACGTGCCAGGCAGAACAGTAGAGGAAGTGAACGACCTTCACTACTTCACTTTTTCATTTTTTATCTTTTACTTAAGAAACTAAAATTTTTTTTCTCATTTGATTTTATTTTTATTATATTTTTATTTTTAATTATTACTACTACTATTACTTTACCTTTTTAAAAAAGTTTTATTTTTTTCTTTATTTTATTTTATTTTGGGATTAGTGTTCTACATTCTATTTTTCCTTTTCTTTTAGCATTATTTTACTCCATCTCAATTATTCCTTTATGCCAACACTCTCTTCCTTATGGTTCCCCTTTTTCGTCCTATTTCTCTTACCCTGTTCCTGGTTTAGTTTTTCTCTATACTTTCTTTTTACTCCCTGTTAAAAATTGATCTTACTCATATATCTAATTTCCTCTCCCCTGCTCCAAGTCCATGCACACTTCTCTTTTCTCTTTCTTCACTAGCCAAATATTTTTCCTTTTTCTTTCTTTCTGTCTTGTTGTTGGTTTGATTGTTAGGTTTTGTTCTTTTTTTTCAATTTTTTTCGGTTTCTGTTTTTCCTCTCCTTGCTTGTTCTCTTCTTCTACTAATAGCTTAATTAATTCCAATCTCAACTCAGGCCTATCTACTCTATTCTCTTTTTCCAATAATAGATGAATACATAGATTAAAGAAGAACTTTATATATATATGTATGTGTGTGTGTGTGTGTGTATATATATCGTATCTAATAAAAGAGTAACATGCAAATAACCCATCACTCCAACACACAAGATGGCCGCCCTCATGTGGACACAAGATGGCCGCCACAAGATGGCTGGTAGGGGAGGGCAGTTGTGGGCGATCAGGCCAGCAGGGGAGGGCAGTTAGGGGTGATTGGGCTGGCAGAGGAGGGAAGTTAGGGGCGACCAGGCCTGCAGGTGAAGACAGTTAAGGGCAACCGGGCCAGCAGGAAAGGGCAGTTGGGGGTGACCAGGCCAGCAGGGGAGGGCAGTTGGGGGAGACCAGACCGGCAGGGGAGTGGTTAGGGGGTGATCAGGTTGGCAGGCAGAAGCAGTTAGGGGCAATCGGGCAGGTAAGTGGTTGGGAGCCAGCAGTCCTGGATTGTGAGAGGGATCCCAGATTGAAGAGGGTGCAGGCTGAGCTGAGGGACACCCCCTTTCCATGCATGAATTTCATGCACCGGGCCTCTAGTATATATATAAATTTTCTTTTACATATATATTTTTAATGTATATATATATTTCTTTTCTCTTTTTTTTTTTGTACTAGTATTTTGTTTTTTACTTTTCTTCTTATACACTCATTCTCTTTCTACCTCCTCTATACTGAATTGTGGCCATTTCCCCATTCATTCAATTCCTTGACCTAACCTTTTAGAAATAAGCTCTGCCTCCTCAGATTCAGCTGGGTATTTGTTGATTTGGTGTTTGTTGTTTGCATTTTTGGATTAGTTGTTGTTTGCATTCATCTCAGGGTGTTTGTTGTTTGCATTTTTTGGATTTACTGTTGTTTTTTTGAGTTTTCTCCCCATATACATATATTTTTCCCCCTTCTTTTTTTTTCTCTTTTATCTCTTACATTTTTTCCTTTCCTCAATATCATTTTTGCACTCTTTTCTCTCTCCTAATTCTCTTTTCTCTGGTGGTCACCTTTGTTTGGGGTTATTGGTATCGTGAATACATTTGTGTTTGGTGCCCTGTGCATTGTGTCTTGTTGTTTTGTATTTTGTGCCTTTAAGTCAATGCAGGAGAGAGAGAACTACATAACCAGACCCCCTGAGAAGAGTGAACATGGGGAGACAAAGGACCAGCCCCCATACAAAAGAAAAGGAGGAATCACCGGAAAAGGAAGTAAATGAAATGGAGGCAAGCAATATGTTAGAGAAAGAATTCAGAGCAGTGGTCATAAGGACACTGAAAAGGATGGAAGACAAACTCAACAATATGTGTAAGAACCAAGAGGAAATCAAGAAGAACCAAAAAGAAATGAAAAATGACATTGCTGCAATAAAGAACACAATAGAAAGCATCAAGAGTAGACCAGAAGAAGCAGAGGACCGCATCAGTGAGCTAGAAGATAAGGTGGGAAAAAATACCCAAGCAGAGCAGCAACTGGAAAAAATAACTTAAAAAACAGGAGGAGAGCCTAAGGGAACTTCGGGACAACATGAAATGAAACAACATCCGCATAACAGGGGTTCCAGAAGAAGAGGAAACTGAGCAAGGAATAGAAATCCTGTTTGAAGAAATAATGACAGAAAACTTCCCTGATATTGGGAAGAAAAAACTCACACAAGCCCAAGAAGCTCACAGAGTCCCAAACAAGATGAACCCAAAAAGACGGACACCAAGACACATTATAATTAAGTTGGCAAAAACCAACGACAAAGTAAGAATCTTAAAGGCTGCCAGAGAGAGAGACAGAAAGTTACCTACAAGGGATCTTCCATCAGACTATTGACTGATTTCTCAACAGAAACACATCAGGCCAGAAGGGAATGGAATGAAATATACAAAGTCATACAAAGCAAGGGTCTGAATCCAAGAATACTGTACCCAGCAAGGCTATCAATCAAAATTGATGGTGAAATCAGAAGCTTCACAGACAAAAAGGACTTAGGGAGTTTATTACCACCAAACCAGCAATGCAAGAAAT